GTTGGATTAAAAGTGGCTATTGGGATTTATCCAAAGGGAAAATATTAAACGTAATAAATTGAATGTAATATATTTTGTGCGTATGCGTTTTTCGATAAGACTATAATATTATACTCCTTCGGTCGTTCGCCATATTTGGCGGTTTGCCGATATCCGATTTACCCGATTACCTATAATAATATGTTATTACCGTGCATTTAATAGCCGTATATATCATCTACTTGGACTTGAGTAATACATCTATATGCACGGTTAATCATGAATTTCGTTGACTTGGCGGCCCAATGGCCGGGGTATGCGCGGTGGCTGTAACGCTTATAATAACCGGTGTGCGTGTGTGTTGAGGATCGATTACAACGACCGGCAGAATGTGCGAAAACGACCAAGATCGCGTACACTGCACAGAATAAAATATATAATACATATATATATATATATATACGGCTATAAGGATTACATAGGTCTTTGCCATCGGTTAGCCTCGGTGGTCTCTTCTTCTGTATACAAGCCGGTCGTGATTGGCGGTCGTGCGCAGCCGCGCGGATAACGGGAAAAACTTCTGTGCGACCACGTCGGCTAAGTTTCAAGTTCACAGCCGGGTACGATTAAAATGCCGTCAAGTCATGTACAAAAAAAACCATCATACTAAAAAAAAAAAACCCCAGGCGCCGTTTCAAAGTGCCGTTTATAGTAGAGAGACCGGTGTCACATTGGAAGGCATTCGAAGGTGAAATATCAATCCGCTCGTTCGTTCGTCTTATGTTGATAATAACAACAATTACTATTTTAACGGTAGAAAAAAAACTCAATCAAAGGCATGCAGATCACACAATATATACAAGAGTATATTGCGATTCAATACATTTTATTTTTTCAGGGTACCGCAGTCTTTACATTGGCCGAGTAGCAGGACTACACTCAACACTATGATTATCATATTAAAAAAATAGTTTATTTAAAATTAATACAAGGTCATTTAAACAGTTGTATGTTAATATTTTAAAAGTTGATATTAAAAACTTAAAGTTGTGGCCATGTGTCATGAGTATGTAGCCTAGTACCTACTAATTGGTGCAAATTTAACCTTCAAATTAATGCATTATTGCATTTTATCTGCAATATGTATTGGCGCCAGGGGAGGCAAATAACTAAAAAAACTGTATTAAATTACAAATTACTGATTATACAAATATTTGTGGTGTTTAATTGCGATTATCTAATGTACCTAATGAATTATAAATTACATATTTTAAAATCTTTAACGCAAATGTAAATTTAAAAAGTCTGACTTTTACAACTGAGTCAATTAAAAAAAAACAGACGTGCTGCAAAAAGGAAATTTTAATTAGCTAATGTATCCAATTATGAATTAAAAATAACTTAAATAATTTTATATTACTAGAAAATGAAATACTACCCTGATTACAGTAACTACAACGATATATATTTATTGTATACGTGGACAAAATAGTTGGGGCGATACGCGTTCTTAAGCCCTTCTTACACAAAAGTCCCAAGCTTAAATTGCAGACCTTTGGAAATTGTAAAAATTTTAAACAATAAAAAAAGGTCCGAGATTGATGCCTAGCACACGACCACTACACAGAATAATGGTCAGGTACAGCTTTAGGTTTGTATGTTTGTTAATTAAACCGACCCATTAAATCGATTAAATGATTGATTTTGATATGGGCAACTACTCTTAAAAATAACCCAAAAAGATGCGGTAAGCCCAAAAAAACCGCCGAATCTATCACAACGAGGCTTAAAACCAGTTTCATAATATGTAAAAGAATTATCACATCTCGATACGTATCAATTATTTTTTATATATTATTTGGAAAACAATCAAATAGCGTCTCCTTTCATTATAAGGAGGCGAGCATGATTTTGTTGATAAAAAAAAAACACAAAGCAAAACTAACTGTGTACATTTGAAGAAACGTTTGTGTATTTAATTTTAATTTTTTTATTACTGTCATTACAAAACGGGCACCGAGTTATCGCCGAATTGACCTTATAAGTAGAAATCGACGGAGAGTTATCAAGGTATAATATACTTAGAGACTTATGCAGAAGCGAATATGATATGTCTTATAGACATTAGACACAAAATGGTAATCGAGCTGTTATTAAATTTTAAACCTCAACATCTGGGAAACACTATGACTGGTTTAATTTGTATACAAAAAAAGTATTACTTTTTCACAAAAAACGTTTAACGCAGTCAACAATAAGCGGTTGTATATTATATTCGTATAATATAAAATATAATATGGCATATTCCTTTAACAGGGGAGAGACTGGAGGCGTTTAACGTAGCTAAGAGTGGAACCTACGACGAGGGCGAAAGTTAAATATTAAAAACAAAGAAATCCTATTTCAGACGAAACGCCCCGCAGTAATTTTAACCAAAGGTTATAATTGCGTCGTACATGAAACATGAGGTCCAGTATATATATATATATATATATATATATAGATAGAGAGAGAGACCACTTTCGATGGGTTGACACAGAAAAGTGCACGCAGAGTTTTTTAAAAGAAAATAAACTGGAATTTTAAAAGCCGTTTCATAGGTCACGACTATTTGATTTCAATATAAATTACAAATAAAAAAAATGTTATTAGTCCACACTTTACACATTATATTGAGCGCGTTGGATCGGATGAAAAATGTATTATACTTTATAACGTGCGATGGAAATGATTGCGGTAATCATATTATACGTAGTAAATAATACATAATTCTACAATATTTAAACGGTATTGGCGTATTCGAAAAATTGGATATACATCAAAAAGTCCTAAGATAAATCCTTCGTTGCCAAGTCAAATAATAAATATATACATATATTTTTACAGAAAACGATAAAACGCCAAAAAGGTTTACACTACAAAATATTATTAAATTGGTCGACCGATTGACGTTCGTTGATAATTATATTTCATCCGTCAGAGGCTTAACCTAATTCCTGGTGACAGGGAAAAGGATATTAAAATAATGAATGTGTGTGTATTGATTTAGAGTGACATTTTCCATCCTACCTATTTTTTTTCGTCGCCATTTTTAAAAGCGGGGTGGACAATCGACAAATGAATGATATTCCCATACTGTACTGCTATTCATAATAAAACAATAATAATCCTTTACCGGGTCATCAGTATCGACTGTTCAGTGTATCGGATTCAATATATAAAACAAAAAAAAAAACATTAATTTTTTTATTTCATCACCTAACACGCGTTTGGTATTTCATTTGTATTGTTTTTAGGTTTTCGACCGAATTGCGTTCAGTAATCCGCTTTTTGGTTGGACTCCGAAACGAATGAATGAAACAACAAACAAATACAACAGCTAAAAAAAATTACAGGTTCATTCATTCGCATCACGCACGCGAGCCCGTCATCCTTTTGGAATTTTACAAACACCGTCATAGGGAAGAACATGTACATATAATATATCATTATAATAATACTATATTATATACTTCTTACAAGGTGTGTAATATTAATAATAATAATAAAACATCAATATTTATTGACCTATGCCGAAGTGGACTCGACCCGGGTCGTTTCATCAGCAAAACATATACACAACAACATATAACACATCTGTATCTATGTCTTGGCACTATATTTTTAAGTCTATCTATCTGTCGACCGACTGGTTCGGCATCACATGAATAGAGTGACTAACTAACTTATATTATGTTATAAGAATTAATGGCTACCGCCTCGAACCTCATTAATATAGCCGCGGTCAAACCGTCAAGACTGCCGTTATTATAATATTGTTACACCGTTGTGTACCGCTATTCAAGTACAAGTATGCATGTAAGTTTATAGTTATTATAATACCAGCGCAGAAATAGTCTCGAAGCGTCGAGTGCGATAATATAATAGATAGATAGATAAAGCGACAGCAGAACAGAAGAATAACAATTGTGTACCTAACACATATTATAATAGCTTGCGATAAGCCCAATTGTGAGTATGTAAAATATCAAATTATGCTACAAAACACCATGCATAAAATATTATATACAGCTATATAATACTATAATTAGAGTCCGGATTCGGGTGCACTTAAAAAACTTAAAATAGTATGCGTTTAAGCACACAAAAAGAATACTTACAATATGCCCGAGTTTATTTTATCATATTTCGTCCCCATTAAAAACCTAATACTCCTGTGATAAAAATCATTAATTTTTATCAAAACCATCAGATTTTTAGTGAACGAACAGTAAGTTAGCATTGGAAGCCAGTAGATTTAATTTGGAATTTATTTCAGTGCAGTAAACCGGTAGTATATTGATCATATAATGGTTTAAATTTGAAAAAAAATAAAACAAATGAGATTATTAGTGAATATTATTTTTAAGACATAGGATCTTTGATGAAGAATTATTTATTTTTTAAAAATATTAAATTACGTTTAAAAAAAAATATCTTTAAATCATTAAATTTTTTTTTTTGATGATGGTTAGAATAATAGGCTATAGACCATATAGATAATAAATGCGCATATTATTTATTGGCACATTTATTTTTGTAAGAATAGTATAAAAACAAAAAAGCTTTTTTCAATGAAAATTTTTTAGTTCATACTTGCACGTCTATAAAAATACCATACCGAATTATTTGCAATATATCTACGTCAAATAAATTTACCGACTTCCAAATAAACTTAAATTCTGTATAATATATATTTAAAAAAATATATATTTTTATGTACTTTCTATACAATATTTTCAAACATACAAAGTTCTTTAAGTATGGGATTTTTGTTTTATTGTGCATTTTGCCCTAAGGCAAAGTTTATTAGATTTCGAGCCCCATACACAAACGAAAAAACAATATGAAAACCATAAAAATCCAGACTCATTTAACGTCTACTCTACTGCAACTACAACAACAGCGGTGATGGGGAAGGGGGGGTTAATTTGGCACCCAAAAGTCGTACGGGGTAGTAGGTGGTTTTTTGGTATCTATACCTGAATGATATCTTTTTTCATTATGTGTGACCCGTCTTTGTGTGCGCCTGGTGCGGTGCTGATGATGCTGATGTTGGGCGCACGGCTGTTTGCTGCTGCTGTTGGAGGAGGCCGACGAAGGGGGAGCAGCTGCAAAGTACACATTGGCTTTTTTCAACAATATACGGGCACGTGTACACAAATCATGTAGGTACAATAAACAGAATATGGTCGACAATATAAATATAACAGTACAGAGTTATGTGTACGGTATGATATTTTATATACAATTAAAATAACAAAAAATTTGCGCGCGTTTTTTCATGTCCTTTCACGAGTCGGTTTTTTAGAGAATAATGTTCTTCTAATATTTTCTTGATATAAAACTTAAAATGTTTTAGTACGGCTCCGTTAAGTTTTAAGTTCTCGCCATCTCTCCTACACCCCATGCCCACAACGTCTGACCACAACAATGATAATAATATAATGGGAAAATTCGTTGCTACCGTTGGCCGTGTATATAGAGCGACGCTTACCAGAAAGTCAAGTGGAATTCTATTATCTGCTTAAGACTTGGCCAACTTTTGCAGAGATATAATTCCTTTATATAAATATATATATAGTGTATACGGATTATTTTGCTTGAAGGTAGAAAGGCGTGGACAGAGAGAAAGAGATAGAGGAAAGCGAGGGACGGTGTCCGGAAGATATCTCTTTATTGTGTCCTGTACACAACTCTATTTTTCGGCCAATGGGTTATTTTCCACATGGATAATTTATAAAGTATTTTATTATACAAGTTATGTACACGGAACTAACAAAATAAGTACTGACGGTATGATATTATAACCGAAGCAGAAATTATTATCGATTATTATTGACTGCCGTCAAATTGCATAATAGTCATTGGCGAAAGTCAAGTAGGGGTTGTAAAATAAACCACGTCCCCCGAGAAATAGTTATAAAAAAAGTTATTGTGTTTTGTCAAGAAAGACGATTTCAAAAGTATTTATTGTTATTTAATTGTTGAATACAGTTTTTCTTTTATAAAACGTACTAAATTATCGTAATGGAAAAACCCTAACTTTTTTATAAGTCCAGCAAAAGTTTAGTATTTACCTGAAAATATGGATTTTACTGGGATTATGCATTCCTATGAAACTTAACTGGATTTTTGTTTTTTTAAACTATTACCAACTCTGTCAAAATTAATCGAATTTATAAAATACTGTTACATACATATACCAATTAGAAATATTGGTAATCTGAGTAACTAGGTGTAAAAAAAATATCCCACTCTGAAATATATATTAATTGGGTAAAAATATTGCCTTGGCTAAAAGTATAATATTAGTATTAGTAATAACTTATATTGGATTCCTCTCCCTTACCCTTCATAACTCCACATGGTGTGGTGCACAACCCGTGACGGCCGTACTTTGTTGCCGACTTATTCTTGTGTTGCGCCGTTTTCGCTGGCGTACGCATATTACACACAACAATAATATATACTGAATTCATTAGCAACGGTAGCAGAAAAACGACTATAATATATTGCCAGTACTTACGTAAGTCATAAGCAAAGCGCGACGTGGCGACTTGGAAGCGAATATGTATACAAATTTATGACACCAGTGGGAATCTCCTAGGATATTTCCGTTTTAATAAAAAAAAAAAATATATATATACAAACCTACCTATACATTATATACACATAAAATGTAGGTCAAAACGTCAAAGCGAAAAAGAGTTTAGCGCTAACGCCGTCAAATGAAAAACGTCAAGGCGATGGGACGCGGGTGTCTCATAAAGCCTATCAGAAAAACCACAGGAGTTAAATAGTTAAAAAAGAGGTTGCTCGATTACTAATGAACATATATATAATAGAGAAAAAATATATAAGTATTAATACCACTAAAGCGGTTATACACTTTATTTGGTGTCTGTGTTGTTTATTAAAAATAAAATACCAATATTACCTATATCAAACCAGATAGCAAAGGGATTCGATTGTTTATAAAGATTGCACGCGCGTAAAGGGCGACTCAACTGGTAAGTGCGTTTATGGAGAAACATATAGCTAATACACATGATATTATATATATGTTGCGCAGTCAACTCTCAAGTGCTGTACTTAAAAACGATTTTACAGGCTATATCTACATATTTTCTCCATTTAACATAGCGGTATGTGGCGCAAAGCGGACGATATTTCTTCAGAGGGAGAGCAGAAATAATTGAAAAACCCAAGTATATAAGCCCGCAGAGAAGATAACATTTTGCATGATATTGTTGTATAGACTGCACGTTAATTATAAACACAGCAAACTTATTGTAACCCGATCAATTACTATATAGTATAGTCGACCGTACCTAGAGCACCGTAAGGTCCATATAATAAAGTAATATAATATGTGTACACATAGCAGAGTACACATTATATGTATATAAGAGCTGAAAAGATAAACTGCAGTTATATTCTCGGTTTTTATTATCAGAAGTGCGCGTACAGAGTGGATTAACGTTTAAACGGGAAGTGGGATTTCAAGTCGCCGTTTAAGGCTTAAAGAACGGTTTGAGTTAAGACATTTTAATGCAAAATAATAATGATAAAAAAAAAAATAGGATACAGTAAAACCCTTAATGAAACAAGGCAACGCAATAAAGGCGATAAGAACAGATTTAAGACTATGCGAAATGTTTTTAATTTATGTTGTTGACCATATAAATGTAAATCAAGAGGATCGTTAAGAACAGAAAGCCACAACGACTGTACATACCTTGGGTCTGTTTTGGAACATGAGGAGCCAAAAGCCTCGTTCTCTTCTTCTCATACCCTTTCTGCGTAATGTCACCTGCAAAAAAAAACTTGATTAATACCGAGCAAAAGATTTATCTTTGTTTTCAATAGAAATAATAATGTGTTAATCGAAGACCAAGATTAGTCTTAATCTAGTTATATATTTTGCCCTTCAGAGACGAAGTGAGAGAGAAGTATAGGCTTTAAATATGACATGTTTATATAACAACAAAAAAAAAAATATATTAACATCACACCTGTACATTTGACACAATGTAGCGAAATATGTATGGTCGAATTAAGCCGTTTTGGGGCTTTTATGCCCACCGCGCATCATTCCCATAAACTATATGAAGAATAATCTACCCAACGTACAACGGCCAATACAATTTATTTTTATATTATAAAAACAATGTAATACTAGAAAATAAATATTACTAATAAACTATTAATATCAACCCCGTTTATTAAAAATACAGAATTACTTTTTGTCAAAAGTCTATTATTTTTCTATGCCCTAAGGGTCCAACGAATAAACCCCAAATTTCCAAATTTGTTGGTTCAAGTGCACGAGTACAAAATTATATTAGCTTGGAAAATAATTAATAACCGGTAAAATGTATGTTTGTAGTTGCTTTTAAATTGCTCAGTATTTTTATTGTATATATTTTGCGCGCACATACACTAGGAGAACTATGCTTTTTAAAATAACAACATTTCTTTACATTGTTATCCAGTAAACGAGCGCTTAATACATTTTTTTCCGAGATAGTAGTCTTTATTTCAAAAGAATGAGTAATTGAAATGAATGAAAATAAAGTATAAATACTCGAATTGAGTACGAACTCTTATTATACTTGCTGTCTTCATTTCGTTTAATATTTTTTTTATTAAAAAACAGAATATTTAAAAAAATGTTTGCGATTTTAAGTTCAAAGTTGTAATCAACAAAAGCCAGTAGTAAAAAATCATAACAAAGAGCAACATTACCTAGGTATTATGAGAAAATATTTAAGTAATAAATGAAAATATAAATTTTTTATTAAAAAATATACTTTTTTATCGTCTGTAAAATCTGGGAATATAAATGTTTAACTTTAAATTAGTACTGTTATTTATATCCTCGTCTATCGCTCGATTTATCATATTTTCATTTCGCAGAAACAATAAAAATTAAATTTTATTACAGTTATATAATATATTTGTATTATTATTTATAACCGACGTTGGACTCAAACACTGACGTTATTATTACATAGTATAATTAAATACCGGATTTTATGAACGCTCCGAAATTTATCATCAACTGAATACCGTGGCGCATTCAAATTCCAGTTACCGGTGACCACAACGACGGTAAAATCAAATTATCTTCAATATAGGTACAAGCTTATATCGCGACGGAATTAAATCGATGTAGCTATAAAATAATCATAGACTAGTGAAAGAATTCGTTCGATTATTTTCAGAACGCGGCCAAATATTTACCTAAGAGAAACCCGTTTATTGATTAATTTGAAAATGTTGGATTAATTGTAATCAAGGGCATTGTGACACAAGGGCAACTCAAATTCAAATGCCCTGTAAACAAGACAAATCAGGAAAGGAGAGCAATTCGACTAGGATTTCGTGCGGTGGACACTCAATAAAAAGGGGTGGACGTGAAAAATATTTATTATATACCATTAGTGTTGTGTGTCACGAGCAATTGAATTGTCAGCGACTTGTGAGCTGTTTTGACATATGACTGTACACTGCGTTACCGATGCGGATAGTGTGTGCTATTTTCACCGGTCCGGCTAAATCCTACCCCCTCCCACCACCAGTACAATATTATCGATGGTTAATGTATCCGCCAGAGTATCTTCCCCTCCGTTCACTCGGAAAATAACTAGATAATACAAACTACATAATATTATTTTTATTTTTACAGAAAATTCCCTCGGATCAGCGGCAATAACCGACGCCAAAGGAAAGGGTATGCGAGGAGACGGCCAGAAGAGGGTTCGACTGGCTGTGGATAATATCTAGAATGTCTGTACACGCATTCTCACAACCGTTTGAGTTATCGTTAACACACACGTAAGCCACTATAGATTTGTTAAACTTAACGTCAATGCGGGAGAATGGAAACATCATTTTTTTTCTGCTCCCTCCCTTCCTCATAACAGCTGTGTTGTTCAGATACCGCACACGCAACACACAACGCTTTCCGTCATTTAAACAATATAACCGACGGTATTTAAATATAAAACACCGAGCGACTAATATTTGTTACAGTAAATGGTAATGAAAATACATACATTATAACCATGATGACGTAATAACCGTGGCAAAACGGTACACGGGATGGTTAGCAGACCAGTGAAGGGCCCTGACGAGAATCGCTAAGCCAAGAACGAAAGGAGACGCACTGCGGATGATCAACTACTTATATATTTAAACCTATATATACATAGGTTGTTGACACAAGTCCACTTGGAGAAGTCAACCATCGACAAATCGCGGGCGGGATGGATTGCGAGTGGTGACGTTTGAAATTGAAATCCGAAAACCAATTAAGTTAGAGCAGTCAAAAGTAACGGTTGCCTTTTACCTCAGCCGTTATTTCAAAAATAAAACTTAATAATCGACAGTCGTGCATCGACTTTTGGAAACCGACAAATGTCACCACGAGTAACGGACGATAGATCTAATGATTCTCCGACCGAAAAACGAGCATCAAGATTGTGACGGATTGCGTAGAACCCGTCAAAACGTCTAAAGTTTCTCTACATAAATTGAATATGACTGCTTTAAATACCTGTCGCACGAATAAAGTAATTTTTTTATTCTTATTGCCTTGCAGTGTCAATAATAGAGTACGGACACGTGTTGGGTGGGCCTAGAGAACACAACTGACATTACCAAGACGCCATAACCAAGGGCTTGAGTAATAATGATAAATTATGATTTTTAAAATTACAAAACTGCGGTGTCTCGGAACGCAAATACTCGGGAACCTGCAGGTGTAGCGCAAAAACGATCTAGACAGATTAGTAAGGTTTACACCATTGTCCGAGTCCGAAGGGACATCAATGGTTCAATGGCACGTGATACGCAGTCGGACAAACGGGAAACTGTTGTAAAAAAACTTCCTTTAACTGTTCACATAACTGTGTCTGTCGCCTCGGGGGCGTATCCATTGCACGTTAAATGCGCTATGGGACACTATAAACGGCGACCAGATGACGATGGGTGCGTGTCCGACTGATAGGAAACAGAGTGTAAGTGTAATGTGTATTATAATATATATATATTATATAGCTATCGAAGTCGCGTGAAAACAAAGTACATATGGTGCATTGCCGGCGGAGATCGTGTCTGGGTAAACAGATATTATATTGTACATTTAACACCTACAAAAGCGTCACGTTTGGACGACGACCAATACAAAGTCGGGACCTGCAATAATAATAAAAGAAAAAAAAACCGACGAATAATAATTAACAGCCGTATAAAGATGTATTATTGTTTGTTCCTATTGCACGTTTGGAATTCTTATGATGACGCCTTATGAATTTCAATGGGACTATATTTTTCTGATTTGTCATGACGAATGACATTCGCGGTGCTGAGGTCTAATGATGATCAATATGCCAGTATGTTAACATCACAGAGTGGCACGTGCAGGAATCACATGCAAATCTAATTGGCTGATCGACACTGCTGTTGTTGTTAGTTTTTTTTATCAAACGTCTCAAACGGATCGTGTCGCGTCCATTGTTTCCTCTTAACTAGCGAAACGTTCAATATTTGTAATGCAACAACGCCTATTATTATGTAACGACTGGATCGGATTGTCGTCAACAACGATAAATAACATCTGCGACATGCCGACCGACGATGATACGGCGTTTTGTGATTTTATTTTTGCGTGCGAGATCTATAGTTGTTTAATGGAAACATATATCAAGCGTTTTTCAAGTCGGCCAAGCCAAAATGCGACCCTAACCGGTCCACGAAGAGATGGCTATCTGTGGGATTGTCGGTGTTGGCATCAAAAGTTATTGAAATCAATACGATGACTAGTTATGATTTCAAGCGATGATAAATCGCCTCCACAATTGTGAAAAATTATAATTTTGTAATATTTTTAACGTTTTCTACACTACGTTGGAGAAATTCTGAGACCAGATTCGGATTGTGCGATATAAATAAAGAAGTAATATGTTGCTTATTTCAAAAGGTGCAATCAATTTTGTATTTAGTGTAAAAGTTAAAATGCTTGTTATATTTTAATGCAGAATATTTCCTTGGGTAATATTTTAAAGCATTTCCTCCTTTAATCTAACATCTACTTTACAACTTTACACTAACGTTTCTAGTGCTAATGTAACTATTTTTTTTTATATAGGCTTTTCAAGCTCAATCGCAAGCCTTTTTTACGCCCTTTTGAGCCAGTCCTACGCTGCCTAAGTTTCATTAGTGTTACTATATTACAAATAATACTGTATCGATTACCGGACGGTATAATATGTTATACACATGGTGAACCTGCCATACACTCGATATGATTGGGTTATGCAGTTATGTATGTGGTTCTTCCCGGATCACATTCGCCCCACACAGCTATGTAATCCGCACTTTATTTGTTTACACCGATATTATCTCGAACTTGTGCAGTGGATTACACGAGGCAACCACGAGAACTGCGGTCTAGTCGATTATACGAACATCATATAATAACATCCATAATACTATTATTCAACTATAATATGGTGGCTTCATCAATGTGGAAACAATTTTAAATAATTCTCTGACCTACATTTACTCGATGACTTTGTAAATCCTACATTAATTTACAACACAATTTTTTCAGTTAAAATCACTTAAAGTCTTCTTAATATATAATGTTATTATAATGTGCATTTATACACTGAACTAAAAATCGCTTATAATATTAGCTATATCAGGTCACACACCAAGTTAGGTCGGGGCTTAAAGAAAACAGCTAGGATCTACTTGGGTGACCTTACGGGAGTATACCCGGTATTGTCGTGTTTGTACAATATT